TCAGGCTCTCTTATCAACTTCGCAAAAAGCCCCAGCTTTCACATATCACCACAGAGGAGGTGTATCCGTTGCACTTACGGTGTTTTATTGTTAAGATGTGTCGGGATTTTTTTTATCAAGAGAAAAAGCCTTGATTGGTTACAGACACATTCGTCTGAATGAAAATGTCATTCAGAAATGAGGACTTGCGCGGTGCCACGGTGGTCAGCCTGCTCGAAGCTGACTACCGATAAATGTTGTTTGATGAAGTTATTCAATTTCTGGTAGGACTTTCCAACGTGTATCTTGTCATAGTTTTCACGCTTTTGCATTCTTTACTTCCTCAGGATTGCTATGGACTAGTTCTTGAATAAGAACATCCTGAAACTCATGACCGTTTCTCAGTAGACCTTAAATTCCATGTTGTCGAGGTATCATCTGATTGGTTGGGGTATATGAGGTATGTAAGGCGTAACTGCTATAAGCATATTCTCACATGGTTTCATCTAACAGCAGATTGGGTCAAATAGTTCACTGTCCGATGTGTAATCCTTGAATACCCATTCTTCAAGGTAAGTGAATAGGATGGTGGAAACGGTGCTGAAAGTTTCGTGTGCGTGTAAAGCATGATCCTCGCGATGTTTTGAAAAGAACTGGTGGAACACAAGACCTCGGATGTAAATATCTGTTCGAGTGAGTGAGTTCCCTATAAAGGATAACTTCAAATTCAAGCCAGGATATTCTCTTCACGATGACATCCAGAAACGGTACGTTCTGGTTCAGCTCCTCTTAGAAGTAAAACATAGCAGTTCATATAGTCGATGTATATGAATATATATCGACATATATTCGATAGTTAATAGCAGTTCATATAATTTGCGAAACCTTTCAGCTGTTCCAGCACGTCATTTGTTCTTTAGAATAAAATGGAAATGTCATCCAGAAACCTGGCGTAGAGCAACAGCCAGAATTCTTTCAGGGCCTCTGCCTCTCGAACTTGTTAAGAAAGTTGAATATGATTTAATGATTGGCAATTTAAAGTCATCTATGTGCGGGTTACAATCTGATATTACTTTGGCTGTCACTTTAAAATGTTGTACTTTTATATGCATGAGGCAGCCTGCTGTCTAAGATATCGAAATTTTGCTTAATTATTCTACTCCTTTTGCAGCAAAACGAATCGGCAATGAAGCTGCTAACATTGTCATTCGGTTCCCTCAGCCATGAATCAGCGAATAATCGATAATTTCAACAGAGGATCTAGAATGAGAAGGGTTTCGTCATATTCATAATATTATACTTGTGAATATTACTGATATTTCAAGCTAAAAATTGTTAAAGGGGATGTTACGGAATGGTTCTGCTAATGATTTACTGCTGTTAAGGATCACTCTTAATATTTCCGCGAAAGCTCCGAACTCAAGACGAGACTCTGCATCGAAAAAGTGTTGCGATGACTAAATCACGCATTCCGAGAATACTACCGCTCTCAATTACTGTGTACATGCCGAATTTATCTTCGATGTGCATTTGTTGAAATTTCCTTTCATGAAATCTTTATTCGTGCAAATTTTCGCATTGAACATGTCGTTGGGAATGCTGGGTAGACCTGTAAGTTTCGAATGAAGTTAAATTATTAAATTTTTAACAGCGGAATAAAATTTCTCCTTTAAAAATTATGCACAGTCTAAATATCTTATCGTGTTGCGTTGCTACGGGTGCCTGCTAAATGAAACCAAGCGTGATCGACGTACGACTGATTTTACATCATTGCAACAAAATGTTTGATGATTGGGTGCGCAGGAACACTTTCGTAGTCAAAGCGGCAACATAATAAAATATATCAGCTTAACAGTATCCTCACAAGTTCAACATGATTCGAGGTCGCGTAAAGGTCTCTGATCCCTGATTGCTCCCTGATGCTAAGAAATTAAATCTATGTATTAATTTTTGGTCAGAATATCCTCAGGTCCAGCTTATTTGAAACATAATTGAGAAATAAGAGAATGGAAGGAAATACTCCTGACGTTGACCCATTATGACTGCAATGGCATCTGCACAATGATCCTGGTAGATCGGTGGATCGAAGAAAAAAAAAAGTACAAGCATGCATTTTGCCTCAGGCTCTGTGAGCCATCGACTGCGAAAAATTTGAGTGTGTCAGTTCAATTTATCCTCAGACGAGAACATCAGTTTAAATAATTTAGTTTGCATAAGGCACTGAAGCTGTTCATAGACGTAACGCAGGGAATAAAGTGCTGAAACACATGGAAATGCCGTTGTTGAAATCGAGATAGATCTGCATACAACTGCAGGAACAGTCGTAGTGTAGTATAGTGATGAACCGTTGGCTTGCTTAGTGTCATCATGGATTTGGCTCGCCGTGCGTCAATTTGTATTGTATCCAACCGATCCCAGAGATATTGATTAATGAAAGTATGCACTCAAGAACTCTTTAAGTGACAAGGCACAACAACAAAAGGAACTCAAATTATTTTCGCTGAACAACCCTTTAAATAAGTTGAACCAAAACAAGTGCATTCACAAACTGGCAATCAGTTTACATCTGATTAAATCATTTAGGAACGTGAAATACCCCGATGGCAATTATCTTTGCAAAATGCGAAGTGACGATATAGCCCTACCACATGATCTGCCACAACTTTACCGTCCGCCCATCGATTGTAATGGATAGTCCTCAAATAGATTGCCAAAGGGATGCAGAGAAAAGAACAAAAGCCTACAGTGACCGGGATTTGAGGTCAAGTAACGTTCATAAACGTAAACGGTCAAACAGAAACACCGTGATCGCTTTGGCTGGCCTTGACGCGCTATTAAAACAAAGGATATGGGTTCAGTGATCGAAAGCAAGTTCAGCTGGATGCTTTCAGATTTAAAAATGCGACAAGGTCATGGATGTCTGTGAGCGAGTGCAAGGCGATGAGCAACTGCCCTGATCTTCACTTTCCCTTCTATGTAGGCGATGTAGTGCTCCAAAATAAATGAGTGCGTGGTATTTGGTCATCATACTGAAAAACAGTATGAAGGGGCTTATTTGTAAAGTCCAAGAAAGTCGGTCAGTCGAACGATAGACCGATAGCGTCGTTTCGACCAGTCTCGTGAACTTTCTTCAAGTTATAAGAGATGGTAGAGTATTGAGATATTTGGCGCTGTTTGCATCAGATCTCATGTACGAAGCTGAAGCCTTTTACTGTGATATATTGCTATACTGATACACATAAACTGTTCAAGCTCAGTAGATGCGTTATAGTAGGATTCCGGTGCACAAAATATTCTGGCATCACTGTCTGTAAACCTTCTTCTCAATGCTTACCACTAGTAATTACCTAATTATTCTGGTAAAATAGCGGATCTTTCTGAGGTATGGACACACAACAAGACCTGAGTTATGGTCATATGTTCTATTTATTTATATCCTTTGATAGCCACTGAGACTTCTCTAATATATTGAGTAATAAAAAAAATTTTTGCGCCATTTCAGAACGACAAAATGAAAGCAGAAAAGATCGCAACCGCTTGGATGTCGGTCTTCACTCTCACAATTTGCACCGCTTTTAGTAGAATTTACGATAATACGCTGAAATCTAATCTTTGCCACCCTGTTTGCCCTAAAAAATTTGTAAGATACAGAGCGAAACACCGGAAGCGGCCAATTGCAGCGAAACACCGGTAAATTGCAATTTAAAATAAATTACGAGGAAATTTTTGCATTGTGTATAAATAAACCCTGTTTTATACTGTTATTTACAATAATCAGAAAATCAAATCATAGTCCACCATTTTAATATTACAAGGAAGTTACAAAGAATGTTGTACGTCAGGGAGGTGCACCATCTAATAAAAGTGAAATGCAACCAATCAGAATTTAATGACAGCCATGCGCTGTTTATTGCAGTCTCACGGATTCCTTGTTTAATAACACCATGCATTTTGATTTTAGACAGGTATTTTAAGAAATTTGACGGTTTAAAAACAACTCATGCACACTCTCAGTCGGAAACTATCACTGCCTCTAAATATTGATGAATTTCACGCTAGCAGTTAAATTACAATTTGCTTCGATCAAGTTCTCTGAGTCATTTTCTTGCGTAATCAACAAGCTTTATTGCTCTTGTGCGATTGTATCAAAGAAACTCCCTGGTACTTCATTAAATTTCGTACCGGTCTAGGTCACAATGGATGAATATAATTGATCCTGCTTTTGAGAAATTCTTAGGATTTAGTTGCCGTTCTTCATGATTTAAGTTTATGTTATTCTTTCTCTGACCTCTAAACAGAGGATGTAAAATTTTGCTAGTCAGATTCGTCCATTACTTGCTGATCCGGCAAAGAAGGAGGCCCATTTGCTGAGTGTGCAGGATGAAAAATTTTTAATGTGCGCATTATTGTCATGAAAAAAACGCTTGACTTGTCGACCGACCAGGCGCCGAAAAGTTGGCCAAAATCAAGGCGTTGGCTGAGAAAAACCGACGTCTCCAACCGTGAGACGAGTCAACCGACAGCGTTTCTTGACCTTGCTTAGCATGAGGTACGAACAGCGCGGCAAGAGAAACTGTCGTTCACCAAGAATTAAGGCACACAATTTACCGTCGTGCAGACGGTGCTGTGCGAACAAACAGAACCAGTTTCGATAAGCTGTTTGGCCTCGATGTGGCATTCAGCCGTTATTTTCCTATGACCGGGCCGTGCCTATGCAGGGGGTTAATTGAGGATCGAAAGAAGTCAGTGAAGCATTGAAATAGTGCAACTGTACTTGAATTCTGTTATTAATCGCTTCCAATAAGCTTTACCATCCAATTATGAGCATTGGACCTCTGCGTAGTAAATCCAACTTTCAGGTGTCAGAAAAAGTGACTAAGAATGACAAGCATCGTTTAACGATGCTACTTTTGCAGTGATGCGTAAAACTTGGGTTTGAAAATGTCGACAGAATATTTTCTGAGCCTTGAGATCCTTGTATAACACAGGCAACAGCAATCTGTAATAGAAATTATTGAAATTTACCATGAGTTACTGAAACCGGAAGCATTTTGCACCAGAGCTTTCAACGATTCGTAGATCTTTTTCTCCCGGTGGTTGACTGTACCAATTTTGAGGTTAAGTTTGTTCCTTTCGTTGGTTGATTCTACGACCTCACCTGCTAAAGGAAAACTGTTATCGCTGGCTCGTTGCGCTGCGACTTCAGGCTTCTCCTGATCGTCTAGGGCCACTGGATTTGCAGTGAACATGTTGAGACAGATTTGATGGTCAGGCAGATTTGTCTTGTCGCTGAATCCGTTAGCATCAATGACCACCGGATCCAGAAAGGAGCTGGAATTGAAGCAATAGGTTGAATCGTCCACTTTATGAACGTCAGTTTTTCGTCTGTACGAAACGGCATAAGCTGCATCGATAACTCCCCACAGCAGCCACTTAGAACAGCACTTCACAACCTCTGTTGGTCGTTGTACCAGCACGGGAAAGTTTCTGAAAGTTTCGCACGGCAAAGGCGAAAGCGTTGAACCGTCTGCAGTCGTCTCTTCAATCTCGGCGTTAACGGCGCCGTGCGATGAGTACAGTAAATCAGGTAGTGAGAAGCATGGATGGCAGGGATTTTGACACTGGAACGGCGAGGATGGCATACTACTGTTTTCGCTGCTGGAACTCTGAAATATGGCTACATATGATAATGACACGTTGTCTAGCGACGCCATTCACTTGCAAACTCTCCGAGCTGTCAGCATCGTCGAAGCTGTGGTTGACCTCTGCCAACGCACCGGTCTCCGCTTGCCGTTTCGTCGACCCGTCTATCACTGCCGGATTAAAAGCCCACTCCCTTGGTCTGAGCGGTCCGCGACGAAACATGCTAAGCGACTTGTAAAAGGTAAACTTCCAGTCAGTGACCGTCAACCAACTGTGCTCTTTACCAACCAACCACATTTTTCAAAACTTACAGTAAATTCGCCGTGCACCGCTGCTCGCAAGCATGGCAGCAAATCGGTAATCCCAATGACAGTGCAGCTGGTTCACAAATACCGTCGTGAGTCCTTGAAATCCCGAAGGCATAAACAGACTAGAGGTGGAGTACCCAGTGTCTTAGCCAATCAGCGTCGCGCCAATGCGTGTGCAACGGTGACCGTCTGAGGCGAACAATGGAAGTGTTTCAGATGATGATTAGCGGCAACTAAATTTACCTCCAGAAAGGTCAGCACGTAGCCGTAGGCCAGCACACTCCACCACGTCAATTACGGGCTGATTCGACTTTCGAGCAACAATGGCCACTTTAAGCAGAATAATGCGGTGGCCAGACAGCCAAAGTTAAGAGCAATTTCAACGGTCATTGGAAGCGTTCTGATATACAATTCATGATGTTACCCGCGTCGCCGGTAATCGCTGTTCATATAATGCGCTACAAATGCGAGCGGTGTTTGCATGAAGCCATTTGGCAGCGAAAACTTGACGCTGGTTTTGATGTTAAAAATGTATGGTTTAATTTTCTACCGCTTAAGAAGGACGTTTAGTATTTGGTATTTTAATCTTAGGAAACGCATATTACGCCTATTGAGATTTTTCTACTTATTTTCATTCGGCATGTGATGCGTTGTACGGCGATGTGACGTCGTTGGTTCAGCTTACATACCACTGTCTGACTTAAACGAACGACACAAGCCTCTTCGTTTGTGGCAATAGCATGACTCGATCACAACTCACGACTAAGGAACTTCCTAACATTTCAGTTTCTAAAATGAAAGATGTATGAGTTTGTCTTTATATACAATTTTGACAAAACTTAGAGTTAATGAATACTGCCAGTCTCATTTTATATGGTGATGATATGAAACACAGTCTCAACCTCTTTCTCTGATCTTGCTTGATCCTAGCAGTGTAAATGAAAATCATCAAGTTTTAGGAGTTGACTCATTTAAATTCCGTTTAAACTAGATACTTTACGTAAGTTTTTACTGATTGTGATATATTCATCATAAGTCTACCGTTATTCTGGGAGTAGACGCAGACTGAGCAAAAGTTTTAACATTTCTCTTTGTAAGCAAGAACGAGGTTCAGTCATTATTTGGGTTTTCAATCAATGTGCCCTTTCGTTAAATAAATTCTGTGGACCTGTACTAAAGCGCAGCTGAAGATTTGCTGCTGACTGACTGATGCTATAAATACGCCGGCGAATAGTCATTTGGCTGGTAAAGGTAAAATCTGCAGCACTTAAAATGGATATGAAAAGAGGTATCGACTCGTTGCCAGTTTGAATAACAGTCGATTGTCTTCAATCCTGAATCATGGCTCAGGTCAACAGTTCATCTACATACGGTACAGCTAAGTATTCTCTGTCGCCATATTCGTTGTTTCTAAGTATGTACATATCACGGTATCGTTGAATTGCTAATCGCCAGAAGCTTCTGCTATGAAATTGTCACTTCAGATCGGTGCATGTGCATTTAAATTGCATTTTATTCTCCGGCTCCTTGATGTCATACGCAAATATTTTCCTTATTGAAATGTAGGCAGTCTTCTTTGGAGCAGTTTTATATTAAAATGGATGCCCGGCAGGGGTCTACCTTGAGGAAAAGCATTAACATATTAAATTTCAGCAGAAAATTGTAGAAATTTTGGACCAGCGGAACGAAGATGATTCATTCGAAATGGTTTTCTCTACTAGTGCGAGCAAAGAATTTGAAACCGGTCGAAGAAATTGACGGCAATATCAACCGCTAAAAAGCTTGAGACCTGTTTAGTCCCCTTGCAGAAGGAAGTGCACAAAACCTTGAGTGATTGTCTGGAAGGGGTCATGGAATCACGCATTTCAATAACCATCTGACCATGGGAAGAGGTAATCATCGTTTTTCAGGTGGGAGAAAAAGAAATCGATACCTAATCGCTGGCGGCGTAGGGGGCATAAGGAAGTCTTATCAACTAATTCAGAGTTCGGCATGGTCGATAAACACGATAAGAATTTATCCGCAACCACACTAATGGATTGATATCGAATCTTGAGGTTCGCCTTGATCTGTGGAAAGACCACTTTAAGACTTCCTCAACTACCAACATCCAGAAGTCCCACACTAACATGCAGCCTCGGAGAGAGCTGACGAGCAATACACCTACTCCACTGAACTCTCAGATGCTAATATGCATAAAACTGTCAAGCCCCTGAGGCGAAGTCAAGTCCCTGGCGTGGATGGCCTGTTATCAGAGCTATACCAGGAAAGTCGGCCAAAAGTTGACTATTTGTTGGAACTGCTTGGCGACGTTTGATATGAAGAGTGGGGACCAGAAGATTCCAGTGACGCGTTGTTGCACCCGTTACTGAACAAAATGTGAAAACCCTCGCAATGAATACCGCGGAACAGGCTTGACTGACGTTGCCATAAAAATCTTCCCAACATAAGTTGTTTCAAGCGAAGTTTCAAAGCGATCCGTGACGAACGTTCAAAGCCAAATCAGGTGGCTTTCGTGCTGGGAGCAAATGCATCGATCATAAATTTGTGTTACGTACCATCCAGGAACGCCAGTTGCGCGCTTCATATGCGTTATGTAAGCGTTAGACTTGATTCATCTAGATTTACTCTGGCGCAATATGGAAATGGATGGCATTCCTCAAAAACTTATGAACCTAAATTAGGCAAACTCCTGCTGGATGCGAACAATAGTCCGGGTTTATGACGAACTGATCGACCTTATGACACTGCTTCATGCGTTCATTAAAAATCCATCCTCTCCTCTATTCTATTTATCTTCGTCGTTGATTAAATCATGTGATCAGAAATGAAGGATTTCTCCAGCCTTGATGGCTGTCTTGACCACTACAACACTGATCTTGAATATGTCGACGACAGCGCCATCAAGTCATCGATCCGTGACGATGCTCAATATGCTCTTAAGCGAGTCCATGATCTGGCTGCCACAGTGGGACTTGGTTATCAGCGCAGAAGAAATAAAACATTCTCCACATGGGTCCTGGAACAAGAAGAAATCCCAGACACCTGTGTATCGCTTTTATTCAAGAAGTCACAGATACCTTCACTTATTCATCATTCCCCATTGGACAGTGCAAAAATTCAAACTGCGATTCAGACAGCAGCAATAGGGACGCTTTCCTCAAGCTCGCTATCCGATCTAGAAACGACGAAAAATCAGTCTCTGAAGAGGAAGTGTTGAGTTTTGCAGGCTGTCACCAGCCCATCTACGTTTATGAATTTAAGCTTAACTCTAATAGCTGAAGACGTGATTGTCTTGGCAGAGGTACGTACTGAGACTTCCATTCTGTGATATGACACTCATTACACTAACCGCCATGCCGATCCCTGGATGGCACAGAAAAAGACATAAAAAAAAGTAAAAATGTGGTGTAACCATCAGGGCAGATTTGAAGACTTCTTTAGGCCGGGAGTGTACGAGTACAAACGAACTGAACTTGATGGCGGACATTGCGCATGATCTACAGCGTGGAATGAAGCGATCCTGCTAAATCAACAATCCTAATGGCTGTAGCAACAGCAAGAGCATTTGTCTGATATGCCTGGGTCCCTTGAAGTCTCTGGATAACTGCCGCTTTCCAGCCTCAGGAAAAGCCTCACCATAAGGGGTGAGGATGATTGTAGGAATGCTAGTTTTCTTTCTGCATCAGCTACGCGCAAAATGACACATTTAAACTGAAGCAACAGATATGCAGGGTTAGGTTGCGTTCCTATACACTGAATGACGGCATCTGCTGCGAACAACCGATCGCCTACTGTAGCCTGAAATTGATCTTTGCAATGCGAACAGAAGGCTGGTAATTGCGCCTTGACGATCGACAACTTCTATTCTATTTAATTAACTCTGCTTTGTTGTATTTCTATGAACTCTCAATGCACAAATAAAAGATAACGTCTTGGCAAAGAATTAACGGTTGACAGTGCATTCACTGACTATCACCGCATTAAACTGATTTACCGCATTTGTCTGACGGTTGCTCAGTTCAAATCAGGAAGTTGTCTTTTTACGAGTTTATGTTCAGTGTGCTAGTCGCAGCGTCGACTTGATTAATGAGATATGGAGATCCCTTAGTTGCAAGCGTTTTACAACCCTGAAGGAAAACCATCGATGGAATTTAAAACAGCATTGCTTTAAATGACCATAAGAATGTTGATGTTTAAGTAGATTAATACATCGATTTGTTTTCAAATAAAATAATTTCTCTAATTCTATTCTTCCTGCAAGTTAACTGACAATAATAGAAAAGTCTTACTTTCTGAAGTGAATGGACTAATGACATTGTGAAAAGTTTTGTTCTGCCAAAGTTAAAAACAGTTAAAATTGGACAAGCAAGGTAAAATAATGTGAATGACAAAAATCGTTGGATTCATCAACTATGTTCATTTCCTATGTCTTCTTCTGGATTATCCTAAAAAGCTGAGACAAGTAGTTGATGAAAGATTTTGCTCAAACCAAGTAGGCTTCTGGATGGGGTACTCCAGCCCAGACCAAATTTTGGCACTTCTATTTGAGCATTCGCTTTACTCGTCTTTGAGCTTGCATTTGATAGTCCAGCGATGTGGAAAAGTCTTCAAATGCCATGTGATACATGACCAACCCATTTTTATTTTGAAAAAGGTGTATAAATCAATCATTTGTGTTGTTGAGGTGGAAGGAGAGGCATCTGAATGACTGCCTAATGAGTGCGAAGTTTGGCAGGCAGATCTGCTTTCGTTTTTGCTATTTAATCTTTTTCTAGTAATTTTCTTATCCAAAACGCTGCTAAGCTCATCAGTGACGAGGGTCCCATTCAAAAGAAAAGGCACAGTTCAAAATATTTAGCTAGATATTTTGCTGATTCAGAGAACGCAAATATATTGTCTTGGAGAGTAACACGGAACGTGAGCTTCGTCACCCGAAGTTTTCATTATGCAGCACAACTTGGAAAGCTGGCCACACTCTTAACGCCC